AGTCAACATGGTCATCAACAGTCAAGATGGTCATTAACGGTCAACATGGTCATCAACAGTCGTCAACATGGTCATCAACAGTCAACATGGTCATCAACAGTCAATATGGTGATCAACAGTCGTCAAGATGGTCATCAACATGGTCATCAACAGTCAAGATGGTCATCAACAGTCGTCAACATGGTCATCAACAGTCAAGATGGTCATCGACAATCGTCAACATGGTCATCAACAGTCGTCAACATGGTCATCAACAGTCGTCAACATGGTCATCAACAGTCGTCAACATGGTCATCAAGTCGTCAACATGGTCATCAAGTCAAGATGGTCATCAACAATCGTCAACATGGTCATCAACAGTCGTCAACATGGTCATCAACAGTCGTCAACATGGTCATCAACAGTCGTCAGCATGGTCATCAAGTCAAGATGGTCATCAACAGTCAAGATGGTCATCAACAGTCGTCAACATGGTCATCAACAGTCAAGATGGTCATCAACAGTCGTCAACATGGTCATCAACAGTCGTCAAGATGGTCATCAACAGTCGTCAGCATGGTCATCAAGTCAAGATGGTCATCAACAGTCAAGATGGTCATCACCAGTCAAGATGGTCATCAACAGTCAAGATGGTCATCACCAGTCAAGATGGTCATCAACAGTCAACATGGTCATCACCAGTCAACATGGTCATCAACAGTCAACGTGGTCATCACCAGTCGTCAAGATGGTCATCAACAGTCGTCAACATGGTCATCAAGTCAAGATGGTCATCAACAGTCAAGATGGTCATCAACAGTCGTCAACATGGTCATCAACAGTCGTCAAGATGGTCATCAACAGTCGTCAGCATGGTCATCAAGTCAAGATGGTCATCAACAGTCAAGATGGTCATCAACAGTCGTCAACATGGTCATCAACAGTCGTCAACATGTTCATCAACAGTCAAGCTGGTCATCAACAGTCAAGATGGTCATCAACAGTTGTCAACATGTTCATCAACAGTCAAGCTGGTCATCAACAGTCAAGCTGGTCATCAACAGTCCTCAACATGTTCATCAATAGTCAAGCTGGTCATCAACAGTCGTCAAGATGGTCATCAACAGTCGTCAAGATGGTCATCAACAGTCGTCAAGATGGTCATCAACAGTCAAGATGGTCATCAACAGTCGTCAGGATGGTCATCAACAGTCGTCAACATGGTCATCAACAGTCAAGATGGTCATCAACAGTCAACATGGTCATCAACAGTCAACATGGTCATCAACAGTCAAGATGGTCATCACCAGTCAAGATGGTCATCAACAGTCAACATGGTCATCAACAGTCAACATGGTCATCAACAGTCAACATGGTCATCAACAGTCAACATGGTCATCAACAGTCAAGATGGTCATCAACAGTCGTCAAGATGGTCAACAAGTCAAGATGGTCATCAACAGTCAAGATGGTCATCAACAGTCGTCAAAATGGTCATCAACAGTCAACATGGTCATCAACAGTCAAGATGGTCATTAACGGTCAACATGGTCATCAACAGTCGTCAACATGGTCATCAACAGTCAACATGGTCATCAACAGTCAATATGGTGATCAACAGTCGTCAAGATGGTCATCAACAGTCAAGATGGTCATCACCAGTCAAGATGGTCATCAACAGTCAACATGGTCATCAACAGTCAACATGGTCATCAACAGTCAACATGGTCATCAACAGTCAACATGGTCATCAACAGTCAACATGGTCATCAACAGTCGTCAAGATGGTCAACAAGTCAAGATGGTCATCAACAGTCAAGATGGTCATCAACAGTCGTCAAAATGGTCATCAACAGTCAACATGGTCATCAACAGTCAAGATGGTCATTAACGGTCAACATGGTCATCAACAGTCGTCAACATGGTCATCAACAGTCAACATGGTCATCAACAGTCAATATGGTGATCAACAGTCGTCAAGATGGTCATCAACATGGTCATCAACAGTCAAGATGGTCATCAACAGTCGTCAACATGGTCATCAACAGTCAAGATGGTCATCGACAATCGTCAACATGGTCATCAACAGTCGTCAACATGGTCATCAACAGTCGTCAACATGGTCATCAACAGTCGTCAACATGGTCATCAAGTCATCAACATGGTCATCAAGTCAAGATGGTCATCAACAATCGTCAACATGGTCATCAACAGTCGTCAACATGGTCATCAACAGTCAACATGGTCATCAACAGTCGTCAGCATGGTCATCAAGTCAAGATGGTCATCAACAGTCAAGATGGTCATCAACAGTCGTCAACATGGTCATCAACAGTCAAGATGGTCATCAACAGTCGTCAACCTGGTCATCAACAGTCGTCAAGATGGTCATCAACAGTCGTCAGCATGGTCATCAAGTCAAGATGGTCATCACCAGTCAAGATGGTCATCAACAGTCAAGATGGTCATCACCAGTCAAGATGGTCATCAACAGTCAACATGGTCATCACCAGTCAACATGGTCATCAACAGTCAACGTGGTCATCACCAGTCGTCAAGATGGTCATCAACAGTCGTCAACATGGTCATCAAGTCAAGATGGTCATCAAGAGTCAAGATGGTCATCAACAGTCAACATGGTCATCAACAGTCGTCAACATGGTCATCAACAGTCGTCAGCATGGTCATCAAGTCAAGATGGTCATCAACAGTCAAGATGGTCATCAACAGTCGTCAACATGGTCATCAACAGTCGTCAAGATGGTCATCAACAGTCGTCAACATGTTCATCAACAGTCAAGCTGGTCATCAACAGTCAAGATGGTCATCAACAGTTGTCAACATGTTCATCAACAGTCAAGCTGGTCATCAACAGTCAAGCTGGTCATCAACAGTCCTCAACATGTTCATCAATAGTCAAGCTGGTCATCAACAGTCGTCAAGATGGTCATCAACAGTCGTCAAGATGGTCATCAACAGTCGTCAAGATGGTCATCAACAGTCAACATGGTCATCAACAGTCGTCAGGATGGTCATCAACAGTCGTCAACATGGTCATCAACAGTCAAGATGGTCATCAACAGTCAACATGGTCATCAACAGTCAACATGGTCATCAACAGTCAAGATGGTCATCACCAGTCAAGATGGTCATCAACAGTCAACATGGTCATCAACAGTCAACATGGTCATCAACAGTCAACATGGTCATCAACAGTCAACATGGTCATCAACAGTCAACATGGTCATCAACAGTCAAGATGGTCATCAACAGTCAAGATGGTCATCAAGATGGTCATCAACGCAGTCATCAACGCAGTCATCAACATGGTCATCAACGCAGTCATCAACATGGTCATCAACGCAGTCATCAAGATGGTCATCAACGCAGTCATCAACATGGTCATCACGCAGTCATCAGATGGTCATCAAACGCAGTCATCAACATGGTCATCAACGCAGTCATCAACATGGTCATTCAACGCAGTCATCAAGATGGTCATCAACGCAGTCACAAGATGGTCATCAACGCAGTCATCAACATGGTCATCAACGCAGTCATCAAGATGGTCATCAACGCAGTCATCAACATGGTCATCAACGCAGTCATCAAGATGGTCATCAACGCAGTCATCAACATGGTCATCAACGCAGTCATCAAGATGGTCATCAACGCAGTCATCAAGATGGTCATCAACGCAGTCATCAACATGGTCATCAACGCAGTCATCAAGATGGTCATCAACGCAGTCATCAACATGGTCATCAACGCAGTCATCAAGATGGTCATCAACGCAGTCATCAACATGGTCATTAACGCAGTCATCAACATGGTCATCAACGCAGTCATCAAGATGGTCATCAACGCAGTCATCAAGATGGTCATCAACGCAGTCATCAACATGGTCATCAACGCAGTCATCAACATGGTCATCAACGCAGTCATCAAGATGGTCATCAACGCAGTCATCAACGCAGTCATCAACATGGTCATCAACGCAGTCATCAACATGGTCATCAACGCAGTCATCAACATGGTCATCAACGCAGTCATCAAGATGGTCATCAACGCAGTCATCAAGATGGTCATCAACGCAGTCATCAACGCAGTCATCAAGATGGTCATCAACGCAGTCATCAACGCAGTCATCAAGATGGTCATCAACGCAGTCATCAAGATGGTCATCAACGCAGTCATCAACGCAGTCATCAACATAAGTCGTCTAACACAGGCTTCCTTCAGATTACTTCCGGTGAGTTTTCTTTGTATGGTTGTCTCTCGGCTTGTTTTCTTGAAGGAAGGAAGGAAAGTATGAAGGAAGGAAGGAAAGTATGAAGGAAGGAAGGAAAGTATGAAGGAAGGAAGGAAAGTATGAAGGAAGGAAGGAAAGTATGAAGGAAGGAAGGAAAGTATGAAGGAAGGAAGGAAAGTATGAAGGTAGGAAGGAAAGTATGAAGGTAGGAAGGAAAGTATGAAGGTAGGAAGGAAAGTATGAAGGTAGGAAGGAATTACTGACTGAAGGAAGGAGCTACTGAATGAAGGAACTAAGGAAAGCACTAAGGAATGAATGAACGAATGAACTAGTGAAATAAGGAATGACTGACTAAAGGAAGGTAATGAATGAAGGAGGATGAAATTCTTCCTGTTCCATACTGTCTACTACTAATTACTTAATATTATTATTATTATTATTATTATTATTATTATTATTATTATTATTATTATTATTATTATTATTATTATTGTTATTAGTAGTAGTAGTATATTATTATTAAATATTGTTAGTATAATTATAATTATGGGAAGCCACAAAACCGTCGGGTTCATGTAACGAATCGGGAATACGAGGCACTCTAGTTTGATCCAAGGAGAAGTAGGCGTCACAAATTCCTTGGATCAAGAGCCCCTCTTGAAAGAAACAAATTTTAATCTATGTATGCTGTAAAATTTTTGCATCGCTTCGATTTTGAATATTTTTTTTTTATAAGATTGTGTAATTACAAAAAAAAAAAAAATCTTACCTGAGTAATATGGTAGAAGGGGCAGCAGAATGCGTCAGTTTTCCTGTTTATGGTGATTTTAATTTTTTTATCACGTGGTAAGAGTGGAGAGAGAGGGACAAGCAACGTCCTCTCCGTTCGGCGTTATAATCAACACTGACTACTTCATCCCCACCCACACCAGCAACTCTCACTCGCTGTTGGTGCCACCACCCACTCCCCCCATGGGTGCCAACTGCTCTGTTTTCTCCACCACCTGGTCACACACACACACACACACACACACACACACACACACACACACACACACACACACACACACACACACACACACACACACACACACATACACACACATACACACACACTAAGTAGCGACCAGTGAAGAGGCGGGGCCAGGAGCTTGGACTCGACCCCTGCAACCTCAACTAGGTGAGTACAACTAGGTGAGTACACACACACACACACACACACACACACACACACACACAGGAGGAGAGTGGTGGAGCACCTGGAACGGAACAGGAGTATAAATGCCAACCAGCACGGATTCACGGAAGGCAAATCCTGTGTCACAAACCTTCTGGAGTTTTATGATAAAATAACAGAAGTAAGACAAGAGAGAGAGGGGTGGGTTGATTGCATCTTCTTGGACTGCAAGAAGGCCTTTGACACAGTTCCTCACAAGAGATTAGTGCAGAAGCTAGAGCATCAGGCGCATATAACAGGAAGGGCACTGCAATGGATCAGAGAATACCTGACAGGGAGGCAACAACGAGTCATGGTACGTAATGATGTATCACAGTGGGCACCTGTGACGAGCGGGGTCCCACAGGGGTCGGTCCTAGGACCAGTGCTATTTTTGGTATATGTGAACGACATGACGGAAGGGTTAGACTCAGAAGTGTCCCTGTTTGCAGATGATGTGAAGTTAATGAGGAGAATTAAATCTGATGAGGACCAGGCAGGACTTCAAAGAGACCTGGACAGACTGGACACCTGGTCCAGCAAATGGCTTCTCGAATTTAATCCTGCCAAATGCAAAGTCATGAAGATAGGGAAAGGGCACAGAAGACCACAGACAGAGTATAGGCTAGGTGGCCAAAGACTGCAAACCTCACTCAAGGAGAAAGATCTTGGGGTGAGTATAACACCGAGCATGTCTCCGGAAGCACACATCAATCAGATAACTGCTGCAGCATATGGGCGCCTGGCAAACCTGAGAACAGCATTCCGATACCTTAGTAAGGAATCATTCAAGACACTGTACACCGTGTATGTCAGGCCCATACTGGAGTATGCAGCACCTGTTTGGAACCCGCACTTGATAAAGCACGTCAAGAAACTAGAGAAAGTACAAAGGTTTGCAACAAGGTTAGTTCCAGAGCTAAGGGGAATGTCCTATGAAGAAAGATTAAGGGAAATCGGCCTGACGACACTGGAGGACAGGAGGGTCAGGGGAGACATGATAACGACATATAAAATACTGCGTGGAATAGACAAGGTGGACAAGGACAGGATGTTCCAGGGAGGGGACACAGAAACAAGAGGCCACAGTTGGAAGTTGAAGACACAAATGAGTCAGAGAGATAGTAGGAAGTATTTCTTCAGTCATAGAGTTGTAAGGCAGTGGAATAGCCTAGAAAATGACGTAGTGGAGGCAGGAACCATACACAGTTTTAAGACGAGGTTTGATAAAGCTCATGGAGCGGGGAGAGAGAGGGCCTAGTAGCAACCGGTGAAGAGGCGGGGCCAGGAGCTAGGACTCGACCCCTGCAACCACAAATAGGTGAGTACAAATAGGTGAGTACACACACACACACAAAGCCTGGTCCAGCAACTGGCTCCTTGAATTTAACCCCGCCAAATGCAATGTCATGAAGATCGGGGAAGGGCAAAGAAGACCGTGGACAGAGTATAGTCAAGGGGGCCAAAGACTGCAAACCTCACTCAAGGAAAAAGATCTTGGGGTGAGTATAATACCGAGCACATCTCCTGAGGCGCACATAAATCAGATAACTGCTGCAGCAAATGGGCGTCTGACAAAGCTAAGGATAGCGTTCCGATACCTCAGTAAGCAATCGTTCAAGACTCTGTACACCACATACGTCAGGCCCATACTGGAGTATGCAGCACCAGTTTGGAATCCACACCTGGTCAAGCACGTCAAGAAACTAGAGAAAGTGCTAAGGTTTGCAACGAGACTAGTCCCATAGCTAAGGGGATTGTCCTACGAATAAAGGTTAAGGGAAATCGGCCTGACGACACTGGAGGACAGGAGGGTCAGGGGAGACATGATAACGACATATAAAATACTGCAAGGAACTGACAAGGTGGACAAAGACAGGATGTTCCAGAGATGGAACACAGAAACAAAGGGTCGCAATTGGAAGTTGAAGACTCCTATGAGTCAAGGGGACGTTAGGAAGTATTTCTTTAGTCAAAGAGTTGTGAGGAAGTGGAACAGCCTAGAAAGTGATGTAGTGGAGGCAGGAACCATATATAGTTTTAAGACGAGGTTTGATAAAGCTCATGGAACAGGGAGAGAGAGGACCCAGTAGCAATCAGTGAAGAAGAGGGGCCAGGAGCTATGAATCGACCCCTGCAACCACAAATAGGTGAGTACATGTAGTGGAGGCAGGAACCATGGTTTTAAGATTTTAAGATGAGGTATGATAAAGCTCATGGAGCAGTAGCGATCAGTGAAGAGGCGGGGCCAGGAGCTATGAATCGACCCCTGCAACCACAATTAGGTGAGTACATACCTATTGGGGAGTGATGTAGCGGAGGCAGGATCCAAACATAGCTTTAAGAAGAGGTATGATAAAGATCATGGAGCACGGAGAGAGTGGACCTAGTAGCGACCAGTGAAGAGGAGGGGCCAGGAGCTAAGAACCGACCCCTGAAACCGCAAATAGGTGAGTACAGTCCCATCTTGGAACATACAGTGTCAGGGGCCCAAGACTGGTCAACTGCCTCCCAGCATAAGGGAAATTACCAATAGACTCCTGGCTGTCTTCAAGAGGGAACTGGATAGACACCTAGTCAGTTCCCGGCCAGCCGGGCTGTGGCTTATACGTAAGTTTGCGTGCGGCCAGCAGTAACAGCCTGGTTGATCAGGCCTTGATCCACCCCCGAGGTCTAGTCATGGACCAGGCCTCGGGGGCGTTGACCCCTGGAACTCCAATTATGCAACCAACATCTAATAAAGCATAAAGTGCAAGGGTTTGCAACGAAACTAGTCCCAAGGCTGAGGGGGTTATGAGTTACAAGAAGCTCGAGGAGCTAAGCCTAACGATATTAGAAGACAGAAGGGCCAGAGATATGATCACGACGTACAAAATACCGATAGGAAGTGAGAGGGTAGACAAGGAGATTCTGTCCTAAAGGCAGGACTTGGGTATAGCTGTAAGTTAAAAGGCACAGATGAGTCACTGGGATGTTAGGAAATACTTCTTTAGCCTTAGTGTGGTCAGGAAGTGGTGGGACGTAGACAGCAAAGTAATGGAGAAGATAATTAGGAGAATGTCTTCATAAACCACTGGAGAGAAGTGGTTTCGCAGACCTTAACCAGTGCGGGTTTGGAAAGGGCAAATCTAGTCTCACAAACCTATTGGAGTTCCATGATGAACCAATGTGAAACAAGGAAGAGAAAGTTGGTTGAGATACATATTACTGTACATGAATGGTGAATAATAATATATAATAATAATAATAATAATAATAATAATAATAATAATAATAATAATAATAATAATAATAATTACCCGCACATGTACAACGTACACAGGCCTAGATGGCGTCAGTGACATTACTATATAGAAAGACCCTTGTTATGCTGGGCATTTCGGGAAAATTATGTCTGTTTTGTCCCCAGGATGCAACCCACACCAGTCAGCTAACACCAGGTACCTATGCTTGGTGAACATGGACAGTAGGTGTCGTGAGGAAACACGCTCTAATGTTTCCACCCGTGAAGAAGATCGAACCTGGGTCCTCAGTGTGTGAGACGAATGCGCTAGCTCATGTGACACATTTGTAACACCTGGGAAGACTGAAGAACTATATAGAAAAGACGAGGTAATCAGTCCCTCAGCCTTGGTGCTCATAACCAAATCCAAGGCTGAGGGACTGATTACCTCATCTTCTGTGTACAGTTCTACAGTCTTCCCATTATATCCTTGAATTTGTATTGATAAAGCCACTGAATAGCGAAACGTCTACAAATAAAAATACCCAGATGTTGCACGAGTGTCTAATTCTACATATGACTGGACTGCTGTAAGGCATTGGATAGTGAACCTCGTGAAAACCTGGGGCAAAGCCTGAGGTGCGCAAGAAAAACGGAATGTACGGAATTAAAAGGCACAATACCGTGACTGGAACAATACACTAATAACCAGCGCATAAGAGAATGGAACTTATGATGACGTCTTAGTCTGACTTGGGCCATTAACTAGTTAATGATCCAAGTCGGACCGAAACGTCGTTATAACTTTCATTCTCCTATGTGCGGGTTATTTGTGTAACGGAATGTAATCCAGTGGATGAAAGAGAGTAACTAAAGGGAAGAATATTAAAGTGCAGGAAGAGATTTTATTTTGAGAAAACGAAACGTTTCTGTAAAGATCATATTAAGGACCAGAGTATGGTTTTGGTTATATGAGAATACGATGACCAAGATGGATTGAGTCGATGTATTTCCTGTTTGATTATGTAAAGCTAATGATGAGAAAAAAACAGATTTGGGGATTAGAAAAAACGACACCAAATGATCGAAATAAAACTGCTGGTATTGAATCAGTAAGTGGCTACTGAATTCAACCTCAGTAAACGTAAGACAGAAACGAAATATAAACTCGGGGCAAAGTTGAAACATCACTGAAAAAAAAGACCCAGGGATGAGCATAGTGCGACATATTATTCCGAGGCTCACTATCGAGCCGGACTATCTGCATCAATGCTAGTTGGGAAAATAAAGCAGCTTTTAGGATCCCAACGATACAGCTCATTCAAGGCTCTATACACAGCATATGTGAGTCCCATCTTGGAGTAACAACACCGACTTTGTCAATGGTCCAAGTCGGACCGAAACGTCGTCGTAAGCTTCTGTCTTTTATGTGCGGGTTATTTGTGTACCAGCATGAAACCCAT